GGGGGGGGGGCACCCCCCCGTGCCTGACACAAGCCCCCTTTGTGATAGCATTGTTGGTGGTGATAGGTTCTCTTTGAGGTGATATTAGCGGTCTATTAGACCCCTAGCGTCACCTTTGCACTTCAAGGAGGCTGTTCAAGTGCAGATCCAGCTTGAATAGCTTCTTCACCTTCCCCTATAGTCGGGAATGACAGCTGAGGATCCTGAGCGGATACAATCAGCGTCGCCTCCGGCCCCATTCAGCTGGGAGAAGATTGGTGAATGAACGTTCACTGGTCTCTCTCTCTGCGCTTCCCGCCAACACCCGTCATGCCGGTCCTGGGCCCAGCTGTGGGGGCTGGAAAGCAAGGCAAGGATATCGGGCAGGGCAATGTTTACCGGCCCCTGTTTATCTGGCGACAGCTCAGCTGCTATAATCACTTACAGTGTAAGGTCGTACCAAGGTATGGACATTCAGCAACATGGACATGAGGGAACCACGATCAGTGTATGGCGGGTGCGATGCTCTGGCTCCTGCAGATTCTTCCTCCCGTCTATGTCTGTACCAAGTTATGGACATTCAGTACTATGGGCAGGAGGTAACTGTGATCAGTGGATGACGGGTGCGATGCTCTGGCTCCCTCAGACTCTTCCTCCCATCCATGTCCGCACCAAGGTATGGACATTCAGCACCATGGACAGGAGGTAACTGTGATCAGGGAATGGCGGGTGCAATGCTCTGGCTCCTGCAGACTATTCCTCCCGTCCATGTCTGTACCCAGGTATGGACATTCAGTACCATGGGCAGGAGGGAACTGCGATCAGTGGATGACGGGTGCAATGCTCTCGCTGCTGCAGACTATTTCTCCCATCCATGTCCGCACCCATGTATTGACATTTGGTAATATGGACAAGAAGCAACTGCAATCAGTGGATGGCGGGTGCAATGCTCTGGCTCCTGCAGACTCTTCCTCCCGTCCATGTCTCTACCAATTGCAGTAGGGTGAAGGTGCTCTCCGCACACCTTTCAGCAATCCCGGCCAGTACGAAAGGATGGTGCTTGCAGTAACTCCACGGATGGCACCGTGCAAAACGAACAGTTGAAGAAATAGGTCACCAGCATTCAAGAGATTTAAAAATAAATAAGTCCTTTTTATTGGACCATGGTGTCACGACAATCAAATAGAGCCGACGTTTCGGGGCCACGCAGGGTCCCTTTCTCAAGGCAGAAAATGTGACAGAATGTGTCACATTTTCTGCCTTGAGAAAGGGACCCAGCGTGGCCCCGAAACGTCGGCTCTATTTGATTGTCGTGACACCATGGTCCAATAAAAAGGACTTATTTATTTTTAAATCTCTTGAATGCTGGTGACCTATTTCTTCAACATGTCTCTACCAAGGTATGGACATTCAGTAACATGGACAGGAGGCAACTGTGATCTGTGGATGGCGAGTGCGATGCTCTGGCTCCTGCAGACTATTCCTCCCGTCCATGTCTGTACCAAGGTATGGACATTCAGTAACATGTACAGGAAGAAACTGTGATCAGTGGATGGTGGGTGCGATGCTCTGGCTCCTGCAGACTCTTCCTGCCTCAGTACTATGGGCAGGAGGTCACTGTGATCAGTGGATGGCAGGTGCAATGCTCTGGCTCTTGCAGACTATTCCTCCCGTCCACGCTGCTGAGACTGTGCCCACCCCAACCATTGATAACGGTGGTCCGAGGAAGACGTTAAGCCGCACGCAATCCCCCAATATTTATTTCACCTCCTCCACATGTCTCGGAAAA